AGGGGTGAGAGGACAGCCGGGCACCCTGCAGCATCCTGCGGGCACCCTGCAGCATCCGGGCAGGGGCACCCACCGGCCTGGGGACCTGGGCGCCCACCCCTGGGGCAGAGGGCTGCCTTTCTTCTTCCCCTTCGCAGACCTGCGGGGTTTTTCCCTTTCCCCAGAATCCTTGGAAGAGGATTCGTAGCGCGAGCGTGGGGGTTTAAATAGCCGGGAAGCAAAGGATGGGCTGGGTAGGAAGAGTCCCTGGAGAAATCATCTAGGAAAAAGAGATTTCCCTTGGAAGGAGATTTCCCTTGGTCCTCTCGAAGCCCTGCCGGGTTGTGAGGGTTCATCTCCCTCAGCTGAGCCAATAACTGGGATCAGATCGGGGTTGTCCAACCCCCGGGGGTTTGGAACTGGAAACACCAGGTCTTCACGTCCAAAAGCTTCCGAGATGTCTCGTGCTGGTGATCACCCTGGATCGCACTGGAAGGGGCCAGACCTGCTTTTCCTGGTGACACGGTGTGTCTGCTGCTTGCGCGGGTCAATCAGTCAGAGCCCAGCCTTGATCTTTACCCAGGAGCACGTGCGTGGTGGCTCTTGCAGAGCTTGCAGGAATTGGGGTTGGAAGTCAGGAAGCGAGGCATGACGCTGGGTCTCGTGCCTGCAGAAAGGCGAGTCCTGCCGTGAGGCTGCAGCTCCCCAGCCCCGCGGCCAGGGCTCAGTTCCCCCATCCGACGGCAGCGGTGCCCTCACCCTGGATCCGGGGAACGAGAGGTGAGTTCCACTGCTGTATCTCTGCTGGCGTGAGGACACCCGCGTGCTGTGACCCCCCAGCTGAGACTAGGGAAATCATTTCCTCTCTGCTGCTGTCTGCTGCCCAGGTCGTCCCTTGTCAACGTACCTTAATTAACACTTTCCGTGTCCTTCTTCATCCCTTTCCAGGAGCAGTGAAGTGCCTGACCCCCACGCTGCTGCAGTCCCAGCCTGCCCGTTCGCTGCCCTCCTTGCCCGATGGAGCCAGCGCTGGCAGAGGACCCCCCTCGAGGTGGCCGGTTGAGCCCGGTGCAGGAGCACTAGTGAGACGTGGTCGGTGGCCTGTGCCACCCTAGGAGGAACGATGGCTCAGGGCACCGGGAGCATCAACAGCGACTACAAGGATTGGGAGTGGAGCGACGATGCTGGGGAACGGGCCAGGCTCCTGCAGAGCCCCAGCGTGGAGACGGTGCCAAAGAGCGGAGAGAGTCAAGGAGATGGTCTGGGGGCCACGTCGGCTTTGGGGGCCGTCTTCATTGTGGTCAACGCTGCCCTCGGGGCTGGGCTGCTCAACTTCCCCGCTGCCTTCAGCATGGCTGGCGGCGTGGCCGCGGGCATCGCACTGCAGATGGTGAGAGGATGAAGAAGGGACGGTCCTTTGTCCCACTTTGGGAGGGGGTGGGGGGGGAAACGTAGAGCCCCAAAAGGGGCTTGGGGAGGACCTAGCTCCTGCAAAGAAGCCCTGTTGGGTGTGGTGCCCCAGAGATGCTCAGTGTATTCAGGGGTGGCTGCCTGGGGTGGCTTTGGGGACCTCATCATGCTGTTGCCTCAGTGTCCCCTCCCTGTCTCTTCCGTACCCCAGTGCATGTTGATCTTCATCATCGGAGGCTTGGTCATCCTGGCGTACTGCTCGCAGGCCAGCAATGAGCGGACCTACCAGGAGGTTGTGTGGGCCGTCTGCGGGAAGGTGCCTGGCGTGCTGTGCGAGGTGGCCATCGCCGTCTACACCTTTGGCACCTGCATCGCTTTCCTCATCATCATCGGAGACCAGGAGGACAAGAGTAAGTGTGTCCCACAGCGGGAAAAAATAACCAGGTCCTGTCCCTTCAGCTGGAAGGGGACAACCTGACCACCCCAGTTTGTCCCCACAGTCATTGCTGCTCTGGTGACGGAGCCTGAGGAATCTGGGAGCAGCCGCTGGTACATGGACCGCAAGTTCACCATCAGCATCACCGCCTTCCTCCTCATCCTGCCCCTTTCCATCCCCAAGGAGATCGGCTTCCAAAAATACGCCAGGTGGGTGGGGAGAGCCCTCCGGGGCTGGGAGCTGGGAGAAGAACAGCCAGCACCCACCTAAGCACTGTCCCAGGGGACAAGGAGTGGAAACGCCATGATTCTAGTGCCATATCTGCCCACTTGCCCCTGAGGGGTTGGACATCTCCTCATCTGCCTTTGCATGCCTCAGTTTCCCCATCTGGGAAGCAGAGGAGCTGCTGAACACTGTGCAGTCACAGTGTCATGCTCCGGGGCTTGTGTCCCTCCCTTCTGCTTGCTGGAGGAAGCAGCGAGAGCTGCTTACAACTGCGTTGTCCCCTGTCTTTGGAGTTGGCCATCCAGCAGAGAGGAGAGCCAGTGAGGGTCCCCGGGCCGGGTGGTCTGCAGGCCAGCCCTGCTCCACCAAGCATCTTAGTGTAACCTGGCTGCTGGAGCTGGACCAGGGCTACTAAGGAGTGGCACTTCTTTAACACTCGCCTCTTTCTCCTGCCCAAAACCCAGCCCATCCCCTTGCTGGCTGGTCTGCTGTTCACAGTGGCACGAGACAGCCCCGAGCGCAGCAGGGTTGCATTGGCATCTGCTCTGGGGACAGTGGGTGACAGTGCCTGGTGTATTCCTATGGGAAGGGAGAGCAGGAGTGGTCCTGATGGGAAGGACTGGGGGCTCCTGGGCTGTGCAGGGAGGAAGATGAGGCTGGGAGGAGACCCTCCACAGAGCGAGGAGGCACCACGCTGACAGTCTCCTGTCCCCTCTTGCAGCTCCCTGAGTGTGATTGGCACCTGGTACGTCACGGCAGTCATCATCATCAAGTATATCTGGCCCGACAAGGAGCTGGTGCCTGTGGAGATCCCCACCAGGTGAGTGCAAGAGACACGATGCTGATGGTGTCATAGTCCTCAATTTTGGCGGGTTCTGCTCGGTGAAAGGCCCTGGTCTTCAGGGAGCGCCAGGTCCCAGGAAAACCTCACTCTATGCAAAGGGATCGTCCGGGCGGAGGGACATGGTAACAGCAGGGGAGGGAGCCCATCACTGAGCACCCTCAGCTCATCCTCCCCCAGGGTGCTGGGTGGGGTACGGGGGGACCTGGTCTGACCGGTGGGTGTTTCTCTCCCACCAGCCCCTCCACCTGGATGGCCGTCTTCAATGCCATGCCCACCATCTGCTTTGGGTTCCAGGTAAGGGCCGGAGCCCGGTGCTCCCCTTCTCACCCTGCACCCACCTAAGCTGGGGACCGGTGTGGTCCCAGGATGCTCCCCTGGGTGTTCAGCCAAAACCCTCCCCGTGTGCTCACTGCGTGGCTTTGCAAGGGGGCTGAAGCCAATTGGACATCTCACCACCCCTGGATGGAGACAAATCCATATTACCCCACCTGGGAAGTCCGGGGCAGCCTGTCCCTCCCTTTTCTTTTCCAGCAACAAACTGGGGGGGATCACAGTATCACGACAAACCCAGGGATATCATGCGTGGGATCCCGCGTGGTTCCCCTGGCTCTGGCTCAGCCCATCACGTGTCCCCGCTCTCTCTCCGTGTCCCTGGCAGTGCCACGTGAGCAGCGTGCCCGTCTTTAACAGCATGAAGGAGCCGGAGGTGAAGACCTGGGGAGCGGTGGTGACGGCGGGCATGGGGGAATCGCTCTCTTCGTCTACACGGGCACTGGTGAGCGAGGGGATGCTGCGTGAGTGCGGCACGGTCCTCGGAGGGGCCGCGAGCTTCTGGAGGGCAGGGACCCTCTGGTCAGCAGAGGGATAGAGTGGGAAGGGAGGGGAGTCCATCTAACCCGCTCTGTGGTGTGTCCTGTGCCATATCCATCCGCGTCTGGTCCCTCAACCGCTCGTGCAGGATGCTCGTCCCTGTCCCCCACTGACTGCTCTCTTCCTGGCAGGTGTCTGCGGCTTCCTGACCTTCGGGGCTGGCGTGGAGCAGGACGTCTTGCTGTCCTACCCCTCCAACGACATCCCTGTTGCCCTCGCCCGGGCCTTCATCATCCTCTGCGTGCTGACGTCCTACCCCATCCTGCACTTCTGTGGGCGGTGAGTGCTGGGAGGAGTCAGGGGCTGGTGTGGGCAGGAGGAGCGGTGCAAGGAAACCCCCCTGCCCTGGGTCTGTGCCTGCAGGGCTGTCTTGGAGGGTCTCTGGCTCCGCTACACTGGGGTGACGGTGGAGGAGGACGTGGTTCGGGAGCGGAGGAGGCGTCTGCTTCAGACCATCAGCTGGTTCCTCCTGACCCTCCTCCTGGCGCTTTTCATCCCTGACATCGGCAAAGTCATCTCTGTCATCGGGGGCTTGGCCGCCTGCTTCATCTTCGTCTTCCCAGGTAGGGCATCTCGGGATGCTCAGGGGCCGGCAGAGGTCTCTTGGCCACGTATCTTGAAGGGGTTGAGGTTGGGGTGGGGACGCAGGAACCAGGAGGTCTTTCGAGAACGACAGAAGTGTGGCATGAGGGCGGTCAGCAGCCCAACTGTTTTGACTGGACTCTGCTCTGTAATGGGGAGTGCGGCTCCCTGGTTTGTGGGGTGTCTGCTCAGTCTCCAGAGGACAGTCCTCATCTGGGTTTAATTTGGCTTTTCCCCCTTTCAGGGCTCTGCCTGATTCAAGCCAAGCTCTCCGAGATCCAAGAAACCAGGGCAATCAGGTAACCGAAACTCCCCCCTTTCCCTGTGGATACTGGGGTGAAGGTCTCCGCTAAATGCACCCTGTCCTCCTGCATCCACAGCTGGTGGGCCCAGGTCAGCTACGGGGTGTTCATGGTCACCCTCGGAGCCTTCATCTTTGGACAGACGACTGCCAACGCCATCTTCGTGGATCTCACGGCCTGACTCCTCCTCCAGGCTGGGCCACGCTGCTGCTGCGGGGATGCCGGTTTCCCCCAGGACCAAAGGGAAGCGGAGAGAAAACACGTTGGCATGTTGGGAAGATCCATTGTAATCTGGGGCTTGGCTGAAAGAGCCGTGCGGTGGTTTGTATCTCGTTGTCTTAGTGCACCAGGCAGCCAGGTTCCTCCTCTCAGCCCTGACTCCCTGGGGAAGCCAGAGCATCACTACAAGAGGACCTGTAGTTCAGGTCAGGCCCTTTCTACCCCTCTGGGTAGACATCACTACCTTGGACACCACCATGGGGTCGTGGTTGGGATTTGTGAAGGTGTGCTGCTCTCAGCCGTGTACCTCTGTGCTGGTGGAGCTCCTCTCCACAGCTTCAACTCCTCCTTGTCCAAACGGTGGGAGACGGCATGTCTTGCATAAAGGGAACTGGTCATCCCGTTTATTGGACAGGGCGACATCGCCGTAGTCCTCCTCTGTGTCAGTGTTTAGTTTGGTTTGAACTGGGCTTTCCCCTGGCTCGTCTCACTGGTCTCCTGCCCTTACTCCTACATCTCCCTCCACCTGGGCTGCACTTTCTGTTACAAAGTGGGACCATCACCTTCAGCCTGATGTTTTTTTGGAGGATCAGGACGAGCCCGCGGTAGGGACATGCCGGTGCAATGTTTCCCCTGCCAGGGGTTGCTCACTCGCTAGAGAAGGTGCTGTGGCTGCATCGACCTACTGGAGACACTACGCTAGAGCAAAGCTCTTCTCCAGATTTCCTGTCCTCTTCTCCCGGGGGGCATCCAGGGAAAGGGACTGAGTCAGATGTAGGTTTTAAGGGATGCTTTGGGGATAAAGCAGTCATTATTAATCTATTTTATATGGTTCCCTTGATCATTTACACTCTCTGTGGCTGGTGTTGCTCTGGGCTGTCCCTGCATCACCTGTCTGGATGACAGTTTCACATCTGCTTTTGCTGGGTCAAACAGTTCCCCCAGCTGCAGATTTGGTTGAAGGGGTTAAACCTCAACAGCAAACTGTTCTTGTTCAGTCTTTGAGTTCTTTTGTTCCTTGTTTGGCTTCTAAAACCCCAGGGGAGAGGGGAATTCACGTGTATCTATGGCTGCCTCTGTGA